GTCGTCCTTGCAAAGTTCGACGACATCCTTCGTTTATAACAAAGGGATGGGATCCCTGTTGCGAGTACTTTGTCTTATGCAGTTGAAGAAAAACTTTGGCTTTTCCCTGCACAGTTTAAAAGGTGAACCTCGAGGTCTTGGCGGGCTTTGTAAACAAGACACTTTACCCTATTCTGCTGAGCCTTGTACCTATTCCTTGATTCGATTGTCTTATCCCTGAGATAAGCTTTCCACAGCCTTTGCTTGCGGTTTACTTCACCCTTTGGTGTACCGTTCAGCAATCGGGGCCTGTTGGTTAATTTCTTTTTAGATACAGGACAGTATCTGGTGGTAATTTCATTCAATACAGCCTTAAGTTCTAACCAGTCCTTGAGAACACACCCCGTGAATGCTGCTTTCCAGTCTCTACGACGCATGTCGAGACGCGTTCGGTTGAAGTCACCACGCCATATGTTGGGTTTAATCACGATGCTTTACTCAGGTACAGAGAAGAGAGGATACTCCCACTGTAGGACTACATGGTCGCTTTTTCTGAGAGGGGAGGACAGTTTACGACATCAACGCTTTCAGGTGCCTTTGTCAATACAAGGTCTGAGCAGTTTGCTAGTTGCCTTTCACGTATTCTAGTTGGAGATAAGACGTGTTGTATGAGATGCAATCTTTGCATTGCTTGTAAGAGGCGGCGATTAATGTTAAATTCTGAGCCTGGGACAGAAGTCAGATTCCAGTCAGTATTCTGAGCGTTAAAGTCATCCATAATCATGATATTGGGTCGAATCGAAATCGTTTCTAATTCCTCTATTGGACAACTGTCTGATTGCGGGTCGTTTCTCGGCGGGTGGTAGACCGTCAGGATCTCGAGAGCTTGTATTCCCGGCGTTCTGATGGTGAGCTAAATTGTTTCACTTGTGCGTACGAGCTGTCCCCTCTTTTCTGACAAAAGCAGGTCATGATCGACATATGTGAGCATACTCCCATCTTGACGTTCAATTTTATCCTTTCTGAACAAGTGGAACAAGTGGTTTTTTTTACCAGATCCCTCTTGTTAAACATTTAACATATCATTTTCCAATCTACATACTTCTCTTCACAATGAACATTAATCTGTTGTCGTTATTTATTTTGATCCTAATAAGGCCTTCGATAAAGTGTCACATAAATGACTTTTGGTTAAATTACAAGCTCTTGATTTCGCAGTTCCCTAATAGACTTTATCAAGTCATACATGTCTAATCGTAAATAAAAGGTTTCAGTGGGATCCTTACTTTTCATTGAAAGGCCTATTTTAAGTGATGTCCTACAAGGTACCGTTTTAGGTGCTCTTTTGTTCTTGCTTTACATAAATGATATCTCAGGGGGCAGTTAAATATTCTCAAATATTTTTATGCCGATGTTCCCAAATGTGTATATTCTTTCAATAAATCTGCGAGCCTTCATTGCCTGCAGCAAATCCAAGCTGACCTTCTTACCCTCCCAGCTTGTAGCTCAAAACTGCTAATGGAAGTCTCGCCGGCTAAATGTCGCTATATGTGTTTTGGACCTGAGAGAATACCCCAACCAGTGGTCTTTCAAGGCACACCTGTGACTGAATGTACCAACATCAAGAATTTAGTCTAAGTTACAACAACAATCTTGATTACTCGCCACACGCTGACAGAAGTACAACCAAAGCTGCCCTGATTTTTGACTTTATTTCTCACAAATTCTGTCTTCCAGAAATTAAATTAAGACTCTATAGTATGATTGTACATACCCTTCTCGAGTATTGTTGGCCATTCTTTGGTTTGACGAATGGGGCTAGTCCTCTAAAAATTGAAAATGTTCAAAGAAGTTTTTCTAAATGAATTTTTAGATAGGGAACATCCAAATATCTCCTACTCAGATAGATGCCAGTTAATTAACCTACAATTTTAATGGGTACGAAGACTAGAAGCAGGCTTCTGTCTCCTCTTTCGCCTTGATAATAGTTCAGATCTCCCTTAGATTTCAGCATTTACCGATTAGTCGCCCATCCAGTCTTCGCAACTCTTCCTTGATTATACCTCCTCCAGCTTCCTTCACCCCTAAGCGCTCTCTTTTTTTCGCTTCCAGATATACTTTCCTCTGGAATATTCTTCCAATAATTATAAGATCTTCAGACGGGTGACCTGAAAAGGGTACGTACCCACTTTATATGCACTGCAAAAATAATATTGTTTTTTAAAAGGTGTACTGAAAATAAAGTACAACCGACGACTCGGACTGCGTCACGGCCTTGAGACAGGGTAAAGACGGTATTTTCTGCATAAGCAAAGCTGCTCGCAGGCTGTGCACGTAGAATGTGAGCGGAAACAGGAGGCGTTTGACTACCGCTACCTGAGGACCATCCTTCGAGTAAATACATCGGCTTCCGCTCAAATGATGCAGACAGCACTCGCTGCGACAACGTCGAAAGGACATCCCCAACCACCCAATCAAGAGGACTGAGGCGGTTTGGACATCTTTATCGTTTTACCCGACTGGAGCTCATTGTTGCTGTCTTTGATTCGGCGTCGTCGCCCACCTGCGTCAGCGGAAAAAGAGGTTATCCCAAAACCGGTCTCGATATGGTTCGTCAAGAGCAGGAAGTGTTTCTTGAACCTTCAGTATTCAAACTTTCCGGATCCGCCGCCGCGGGTAGTCCAGTATGGTGAGGTGTGATTTGCGACGGACTATGTAATGCTTGATGATAGCTGGGATAAGTATAAGTAAGTTCGTTACCCTCCAACCCTCGTCCAAAGAAGAATCGATATATTCTGTCTACTGGCAACCTACCAAGTCACGGCCGCTAACGCATTATGTTGGGTGTAGATGCGCCATATTTAGTAAGGCACAAAATGGTTAGAATTGCTGGAAAAGACTACCCCACTATCGGACACACTCCCAATCCCCACTTTACCACACCGTCGACTTCACCCCTCGTTTTTCATTTTGCTTAACGGATTTCTAATCTCAAAAACTATGTATTGCACTTTGTACAGATTTTGCCTACATCGTCTAAAATTCGCAAGTAAATTTATTTTTATTTGCTTTGATGGGACCCCGACGGGACTTTAATAAAAATAATTGAATTGAATTGACTTAACCGAGCTGTCGACCGACTGGCAATTAGAGTTGGCACGCTGATCGACATGGCATGAAAGCCCCACGCTACGCGTCACACGACAGTACGACCATCAATTTCGATGATGTCCACCGTGTGCCTCACAGCAGGTGGGAGCAGGGACGGTGACTTGCGCAGGGGTTTATAATGTCAGCAGACTTGCGCTGCATCAACCTACACTCTCTTCTCCTCCCCGCCTGAGTCCGGTGCCAAGACAGAGTCAAGAAGAACGGAGACGAGTGATGCCGCAGGTGGATGGCTCGGACGGATCCTCACCTTGGCGTTCCACTACATCCGCTGGTCCACACAACAAATAACCAGGATTTCAACCAACACAAGACAGATTTGGAGGCTGGCACGGCCGAAGCCGCACCTAGGTGTGCCGCCAATGCCTGGCTCGTATCCCACACTGTGGTGGGAGTGCCATAAAGGCCGCATTAAAAAGGAACGATTGCAGCCTGACTTTCAGACCACCACCAGTCAAGTAGGAGGTCCAAGTTACACCGTCAGTTGGCAACCTTCCAAGCCACGGCGAACTGCGTGAACAGAGAGCGGGCGTCAATCAGCAGCCTTCCTATCCACGATGCTTGACGTGTCGGGATGCACTTTGACTCAAGTCAGCCGTGCAAACGAATCCGCATGAGGACCGAGTCGAGATGCACACTTCCCACTTGCGTGGAAGGTGGCAGTTGTGTGCATGCGGTGGGTGAGTGTTGATGTATGGTGGTGATGGTGGAGGAAGGTAAGGAGTGTGTGGATGTGTGGTGTAACCGGCGGTTGTCTACCGCAGGTCGTCGTGTATGCGTATGTGACCGAATAGTCCCATGTGATGCCTGAAAGTGCGAGGACAATGTGGGCAGTTGAGACGAGTGTGGTGGGTATAGGATGGTGCTCCAGGCACTGGTTCACCAGTATCCGTGCGATGGATTCGCGAGTGACCGACCTGGCCGACGTGTGAGGAGAAGGTGCGGTCGCAGTGAGGGCAGGTGCAGTCCTGTCCTCATCGCTGGAGTCGGGAGAGGTGGGGTTGATGTCGGTTGTTGTGTCGGAGTTGGTGATGTGCAAGACGGCCGCCTGAGCGGCCGCAGTTGGGGCAGTGGTGGGGGGGGGGACGAGGAGGAGGAGGATGGTAGTGATGGTTCAGAAGAATTGTCAGAGTTAGTTCGCAGCGGAGAGGACGAGGAAGAGGCGGGCGGGGGGACGATGGTTGGTGCAGTTCGAGAGGCGCAGTTTGTCCGAAGATGTCCAACAAGTCCGATTCGAGCTCGAAATATCCGTTGACATAGAGGACACGTTGGTAGGGGTTGTGCGTCGGACTGTGCTGTGCGGACTTCGCACAGTTGGGACTTGCGGGCTTTACGTTTCGCTTTGGCGGCGGCGATGCGGTTGGCTTTGTATATCGCAGCGCCTGTCTTCACTGTCCTCCTCCAGGTCGGTCAATCGATTGCGAGCTCCTCCAGTTGGTGGGGTTGATTTGCACGCATTTCAGGTAGGACTTCAGGGTATCCTTCTAACGGTGAATTTGGCCTCCTTGACGGCGAGAACCCGTCGCGACGTCTCCGTGGAAGAGTCGTTTGGGTAGTCGCTCGTCGTCCATGCGCACCAAGTGGCCGCTCCAGCGCAGCCGAATTTGCCTCAGTATGGCGTAGATGCTGAGGATTCCCGTCCGTTCCAGCACATCACTGTCGGGGATTCGATCCTGCCACTTTAGCCTAAGGATGCAACGAAGACAACTGAGGTGGAATTGGTTCAGACGACGCGCCTGCTTTGCGTACACCGTCCAAGTCTCCGATCCATACAGTAGTGTCGGCAGGATGACGGCCTTGTACATCTTCAGCTTCGTGCTTAGTTGGAGACCGTGACGATTCCAAACTGTGCTTTAGAGAGGACCGAAGGCTTGACTGGCTTTCGAGATCCTGTTGGCCACTTCGTCGTCGATCTTGGTGTTGTGGGAGAGGGTACAGCCCAGGTACGGGACGTTCTCCACCACTTGCAGTTGAGTCCCATTCACGTTGATTTGCGGCGCGTTTGGGGTTGTGGCTGAGTTGGGTGGCGGTTGATGCATCACCACCGTCTTCTGCGTGTTGATAACCAGTCCAAAGTTCTCGTAGTCGTCGGCGAAGAGGAGTTCGTGCACGGTGGTTGAAGATACGCGCGATTGGAAGTGCATCCGTCGTTGATTCAGGAGATGGCCGTCCGTCCTGTAGGCCATGCGAATCCCGGGGCGTTCGTCGCGGTAGGCGTCCATCAGCATGGCAGAGGACATAAGACTGAAGAGGGTAGGCGCCAGCAGTCATCCTTGTTTCACTCCGTTGGTCACTGCGAATGCCTCTGAGACAGCTCCGTTGTTCGTGACTCGCGCCATCATACGGTCGTGCAGCTGACGCACCATCTGAATGAATCGCTCCGGACAGCCGAATTTCTGCATGATCTTCCACAGTCCTTCACGATTCACCGTGTCGAAGGCTTTCGTCAGGTCCACGAAGGTAGAGTACAGGTGTGTCCGCATCTCCTGGCACATTTCCTGAAGTTGACGTGCGGCGAAGATCATATCCGTGGTCCTACGATGACGACGGAAACCGCATTGGCTTTCCGGCAGAAGGCCCTGTTCCAGATGATTATTGAAGCGGTTGAGAAGGATGCGAGCGAAGATCTTCCCGGCGATGTTCGGCAAGGAGATGCCGCGGTGATTGTCGCACACACACACACACACTCTTGTGCAGGGGTTTTATAATGCTGGTAGACTTGCACGATATAGGACTTATTCCATTTCCCCAACGTTGAACCTGTATCAAGACGGAAGCAAGAACACCGAAGCCGGGAGAGGGCGTAGGTGGATGCACGGCCGGACACGCATTAAGGTTTATCGCCACACCCCTTGTCCACAAAAAGCACTTGAAAAGGTTAAAAATTCTCTGAAAACAAAAGCCCATAGGTGTCCCGCACACCCATCTCGGATTCCACTAGGTGGAAGTGCCATAGAGGCCGTATTAAGAAGGGATCATTGCAGCCTGACTCCTAGACTACCAGTCGGCCGCTCCACACAAACACACAACACTGAGCTCATTGCCAGGTCCAAGATATGCCGTCAATTGGCAACCTTCCAACCCACGGCTTTTAGCACATCGTGATAGCTTTAGGCGTGCCAGATTGTTTAAAGTGTTGAAAATGTACTGAATTGTCAACCTTACTCGTCCTTTCCATTTCCAGGACACACTAACGGTCACAGACGTTCAGTTTACAGGTGCGGGGAATGGGCGCTGTGGCTGATATGTCTAGTGACGCAGTCAGCACACGCTACATGCATGACTTGGCTCCCAAAACACAAACATCAGGATATTACATAACGAGGGTTGAGTGGCGTCCATAGCAACAATAATAATAATAATAAAAGTAACCACAGCTGTATTTAACGAAAGCCTACGAGCATTATCAAGGGGAGATTAAACAGAAATCTTAGACAAAGAATATCTTCAAAAATAATGATAATAATAGTTCCATTTAATGCCAACTTACTAGCATTGCCAAGGGGAATTTAAGCAAAAATTCGGACAACAGTGAAAAAACTCCTGTCAAAAACGAATAAAAATAAAGGTGATGGTGTTTCCTGTAGTTTGAAGGGGTCTGGAGGGAAAATGCTGCTTATGAAATGACGACATTCAAGAAAGGGAGGGAAAGCACTGCATAGGGTATTTTCAATCGCCAATTCTTTTCATGAAATTAGGGCTGGTCGGAACAGAAGCACTGCTGTTGGCTAAGGAAATTGTCCTGGTGAGGGTCATATGATCTGAGACCGCAAACGCCATCGCCATGGTATAGTCCGGTCCGTGAATTCAGTACTCAAAGTTTGTTAAAGTTTGCCCAAATACAAAAATCGAGTAATAGTTCTCTTAGACAAAGGATAATTTTTCAGAGCTTTCGCATTCCTGGGTAGTTTATTCCAAATAGCCATCACATTTACAAAAAATTACTGCCGATATCTGACGGTGCGTGCCAGAGGAAGAAATAAAAAGACCTAACGGTAACTGTTACATCGTGGGTTGGTCAAGATGTCTTTAAGAAAAGAGTGACTTTAAGGTACGATTATATAAACGCCCAAATAGTAAAAATAGTTCGTTTAGTTATCCACAATATCATAAAGGATCAAGGATCGTAAGCCGGCAACGTTCTTGGTAAGACAAATTTCGGAGTTCCGGGGTTAAAGATGTTTTGGTAAAAAGTGTTGGACAGTTTCCATTTTCTTCCGCTTGGCAGCACTCATTAGGCTAAATAAAATCGAACAGTATTGCAGGCCAGGTCGAACGTACATATTATAAAGGCGTATTCTTATGTCATTAGTTCTAAAGTTTCGCAGGCTAAACCCGGTCGATCTACGTGCTTTAGAGACTATGAGGCTCATAGGTCACTATTTAGGAACACCATATCAGTGTATTTCGGGAAACGTAGGTGTGTACCTTTGAAATCCCTATTGGTTACATGCAGAGGAATTATACGAAGAAAATGGAAAGGAAGTAACATGAAAGAAATACAAGGGAATAACAAAAACTGTACAGATAAACACAGAATGTCATGCGTTAACAGCATTTAGAGGCATATGAACTCGATTTGGTGATTAAATGCAGCAGGCATTTGAAGCACACCTAGGATACTGACAAAGAAGCAAAGTTTTTCTAGTCTGCAGGCATTGTGGTGAATGCGAGCAGCGGTGTGCGACGTGGTCCACAATTAATAAATTACGTAAACATATGTTACTTGAATGTGGGTAGTAGCATCGCCATAACACTAAACTGTCAACGTTGGCTATCAAGGCGGCTGAAGTCCGGCGTTATTGTGGCGCGCGCTCCAATGTTGATCTAGCCCTTTTTAAAAGTGTTTACGGATCCCGACATAACAAAATCCTTTAGGCAAATCATTCCAAACCTGTAACCACTCTGTTAGAGAAGAACTTTCGTGTGTCTAGCCGGGCACCATTCTCACGTATTTTGAGTGGATGACCTCTGAGGCTAGTCGTAGTCGCCAACTCGCAGAAATCCCGAGATGCGAGACAGCAGCCCCGATTGCGCACAATGCGGAAAGCTTGTATCAGGTCCCCACGTATTTGTCGGTAACTCAAAGGAAAGAGGTTAAGATTAGCTAATCGTATTTTGTTATGTTTTGACCAATGCCCAGATACAAGTTTCGTTGCTCGCCATTGAAATTTTCGGGTATGCCGAGGTCTTTAGCGGCCCAAGGTCTCCATGCTTGGATAGCAAACTCCAGATGCGGTCGCACAAAAGTTCGGAAGACCTTGGCGAAGCAGTCTTTATTAAAGAAGGAGAACGCCCGTTTGACGAGGTAAAGAATGGACATCGCCTAATTGGCTACCGTTGAGCATTGCAGCGAAGGCTTAAGCGAGGTTGTGATCTATACACCCAAGTCCTTCTGGGCATCGACTACTTGCAGTGGTTTGCCAGTCAGACGGTAGACCGTGCGGTTAGGAGACCTGGTTCCACCGACGCGTAGGAAGTTGCATTTGTTACGTTAAACGGTAGAAGCCGGCTCTTGACCATTGATCGAGGCGGTCTAGATTTGCCTGCAGTCGCGCCTCGTAAACTTCGCCCGTATGGTACTCACCAGTGGTTCCTCGCAGATTAAGATGGGGACGCCTTAGATCGAGTAGGTTTTTGGGGCACATGAATGTGGGTGGCCAGTGCGAACATTTTGAGTTATGACAATGCGTTCCGGAAGTAGTTCTTCAGTCTCGCTTACGCAAAAAAACTGCTAGAATGTTTGGCAAAGGCATGCCCATTATAACATGAGATGACTTCGAATTAGAGCATACTCTCGCCACAGGTTCCTTGACTAAATCAGTTCTGACTTCATTTCAGTGACAAAGTTTATCCCTACGTTGCCCATATTGATGTCATTCACGATTTTACTTTTAGTATCGCAGGGTGTTTGCTACTATGTTATCTGCCACAGTTCCATTTTTACACATATTGAAGTGTTTTTTTTGCGGAATTTGTGGCCATTTTCCTTATTGTTTTTTAAGCAGTTTTTTTCCACTATGTTATTTTCTTGGCCTTGGAACTGTTTCCCTGCTACGCCCACCGATTTGTCACTACTGGCTTCCAACTCCTTAGCAGTTCTCTCCCAAGCGTTTTTTCAGGCCTTCCCTTTGTACTCGAGTGTTTAACTTAAGTTTTGGCATGCGAGTAGGTTCTTGCAGGAAAGCAGAACTCTATCTAGGAGTCCATACATACACTGGCAAGTCCATCTAACGGAACGTTTAAGAACTTTGGCAACTCTACTACTTCCTACTGCAACATATACAATGAGCCTGATTTCCGACAGGTGCAGGTCGTTATTGAAGGCACATCTAAGTTTTTGACTGAGAAAATATAATTATCGCGTACGTCTCTTTCATCAGCGTCAAAAAAGGTTTCCATTTGGGATCCTTGCTTGGCTCGAGAAGCTTGAACCAAAGAAAAGGAGAGCGCGAATCAAATGTTTGGTCATTGGCAGCTGTAGCCAATGGTCGAATTTTGGATCGAGCTGGAATTATGGTTTTCTCGTCCGACAGCCTAAAAAGACTAAGGGATTTTTGTGCTTGGCCCTCTACAATTCTTTGGCTTCTTGTTGTTCTTTTTTCTGTCCCCGTGCTCTACCTGTCCTTGATGTCGGTGTCCGATAAACTAAGCCCCGGTATGCCCTTTATGTAGTCAGCTTACACAATTTCAGGGACAATGTTTCTTAATGCACTGACGCCAAAATTCTACGTGGCACTCACTGGAACGAGCTCCTTCCTATCAGGGTTGATTTTGGTATGTTGTTTCTGTCGAGTCTATCTTTAGATTTTTGAGTGGTGGTATTTCAAAAAATATGGCACATCATTTATTGAACAAATTTCCCTTACGCATATATATCCTTTGCTTGGAGGCGCTGATGAGGAAAACGATTGCGAAAGCGTTGACTCAGCGGCTCCGTATTCAAACCCCCAAGGTTTGCTTCTTTACACGATTAATCCTCCCCCTTAGACTGTAAAGTTTCACGTAACCCCTACAGCCTTTTTCGGAGCGCGGAGTACCAAAAAGTCATGAAGGAATTTGGAAAGGATCCTTTAACCTATTATGACATGAATTTGTCTGCCCAAGACCACCAGACGTTCTTTACTTGTGAAGCAGATGCTGGGAAACCCGAATACGAACGTACATCTATCCTTTGAGATTATGCTCTTTCTCAGTTATGCAAACTGCATGGAGGGAGAGAAATTCCGAAGAACGTATC